AATTCTTAACTTTTTTAATCGCCTATTAATTTAATCATTGCAGTTGTTATTTCCATCTGCTACATTTTGTTCTTTAAGAATCCTTACTTCGAACTCCTTTATGCATCCAGCATTTTTGTTATAATCCTTCTCATTTTCCCAGAGTTTTCTCCAAAACTCAATTGTTGCTGCTTTCTCAGGCTGTTCAGCTACTCTATCTCTTGGTTTACTCAGACTTTGGTAAAACCGTCTTTGGTCTGTCTGAAATAGTTGATTTTGCCTGTACTGGATGATCCTGGCCTCGTATCTTTCGATTTTCCTCGCTGTTGCTACAATTTGTTCTTTTACAATTTCCAAAGCCTCCTCAATTTTCCGAGTGTTCAGCCAATACTTTCTAACCAAGTATTGCTTGGTTTTAGCATTCTTCAATTTCTTTTCTTTCATATTTTTCAAATTACTCACATCCGATCGCAGATTTTTGATTTTCAATTCCAACCTGATCTTCCATGTTGGTTTTTGGTTTCACTTTCTTGTTGGTTGCATTGGTTTTGAGAGCCCCAAATCCTCTGTTACTATCAATGCAGTACTGTAAGCAATCTGATTTGTCTGCTCAATGGGTGTTATTTGGATAGTAGAAAGTAATGTATTCACGTCCTTCATGATAGCAGCCAGGTATTTTTTAGGTATCATTTTCAAAGGTGGAAGGCGCTTTCTTACTGCATTTAATGCAGCATGAGCCATAATTTTATCCTTAAGCTTTTGTTGCCTTGTTGTTAAAGTTCCTGGTTGTATATCCAGTCCCTCAGCTGCCTGTCCTTCAAATTGTTGTAAAGAGTTCATGTTTACTTCCGGTTCGGTGTGGTCTGATGCTCCAAATATCATCAGAGTTTCTGCCACTGTCAGATGTGAGAACTGCTACCCAGCAGTCTCACTGAGCGTCTGAATCTCTTCAAGTTCAAGTTCACTGAACACCTTAGTATGACGGTACTTAAGATGACGGTACTAGCAACTACGGTGTCGTCTGCTGATAGCATTAAAAAAGTATGATAACTTTCTTATCTTTCGTCTCCGGTCAGAAAATGGGGCATCGTTGAACTCGTCTCGGTACCCTCAGTTCAGATATATACTCCAAGTCCCGAGATTCCATAGGTGGTAATCTATATAATCCCCATTATTGCGATTATTATTATTATTATCATCATCAATGTATCTCGATTTTAAGATAAAGCCTTTTCCGTAATACGCTGAGAGATTTCATCGATATGATTACTGCAGTTATTTGTATAAATGATATTTTTAAATATTCATTTTTACAGGAAATTGATATTTCGTTAAATCCTTTCGAACTTAGTTTCGAAAATTATCACGATGTGGATTTTTCAACACCTTTTGCCATAAAAACTAAAACTTTCTTTTTAAAACTGAGAAAGCACAAAATTGGATGGCATACAATTGTTAATGCCCTTCGTTTACAGGTAAATTTCCTTTTTCCTTTGTCAAATTTTAAATCCTCTTTTAAATTGAAATTATTGTTTTCCTTCCATACAAATTTAATGAAGGTGTGGCTAGCTCTATTGGGTTCCCTTTTACTGTTTGGATTTTATTTTCGTTGGGTCATCAAAGAAAAAGACGATAAACCTTGGCCCGTGGCGAGTGTATACTGGTTTCTCTTCACCACTTTGACTAACCAAGGTAAGTGGATACTATTTATGAGAATTCGTTGGCGAATTTATATGGAGTTTCTATCGTTACAGGAGTCGATATGCGTGCAATCAATCGATTTGCGTCCAGAATATGTTTTGTAATGTGGGTGTTATCGATTAGTATTCTGTTATGGGGCTATAGTGGTGTATTGTCGTCGCTGCTGGCTGTGCGGGTAAACGAACCCGTGCCCACCACACTCGAACAACTCGCTGCTGCCCTTGAAAGAAGAGAATATTCCTGCTTATATACCGGCGACAATAGGTTTATTTTAAACTTAAATGTAAGTATAAATTTGTTTTATAAAAAAATCCGGTTCAATGAAATAACAATATCTGTTAGAATTTTCCTCCGACATACAAATACCCGAAATGATTATTGTATTGTGGGAACAACGGGAATAGTAAAACAGAAAACAAATTAAAGAAACTTCGCGCAAAATTGAAAACACCTATCTACCTGCTTTTTCTGTACGCTAAAGGATCTGTGTTCACCGAATTAAAGAACAGAAATAACGATTCAAACAGCAGTTAATAGAAAAATACGAGAGCGTAACACCATACGATATAATTTAGAAGGGTATTGTCTGCAAGAATAGTGTTGCTTTGGAATTCTATTGAACGTGTCTTTTATATATAAACGTCTGTCTAAGTTCTTTCGGATAAGCAAAAATATAATATTTAAAAATGACACGTCCGCATTTTTTCCCTTACCTCTACTTTTCTATGTGAAATTTAAGTACGGTTTCTGGTCTTATTGGTTGAAAACGTACCTAGATAGTTTCTATTCGTTTATAAAAGTATTTTTATATTAACATTGTAATGTCCTACCAGAGACTGACAATGAGACAATGCGCAAGACGCTCCCTATGCGGGACCGAAGGGTCGACATCGCGTCGGCCATGACAAAGTCTTTAGGACCAGGGGCGGCCCTAGGGCGGTGCGAACGGTGCGACCGCACCGGGCGCCGACATAGTGAAGGCGCCGAAAATGCAACGATAGATCGTCTGCAAAAAAAATAAAACCTGATTACCTTAGTACTACTTAACCCCGGCCGGATGGCCAAGCGGTCAAGGTGGCAGCCCATAGCTCTGGGGGACCCGGGTTCGAATCCGGACAGTTCAAGGAATCCCCAGGAATTTTTCGGGGGGTGGTCCGTTCTGATATGTTGGGCCCCGTCCCTCACCACTAGGTCGACCCATTGAAGGCCTGGCCGAACTCATAATGGGCCTGCTATAAGAGGCCCTCTTAGTGCCCACAGGGCGGGAAAAGTGAAAAAAAACTAACATTAGGAGATTCCATCGACAGTGGGGAGGGAAAAAAATCAACAGCTTGCCAATATGTCTGAATTAACAAGGGTCAAGTTAACTCTCCATTTACGGTCGTTATCGTTTCTCATTCATAGTATTACTATACTAATGTTTCGGAGGTCTGAGATATTAATTAATAATATGAAAAATTTACGTTATCAGTTTAGTCTCTACATGGGGCGCCACAATGAGATCTCGCAAATCTGAAAACCTGGCTAAGCCGCCACTGGTTATGACTGACACCACTGTATTTTTAAGGACAGACAGAAACCACGATGGCCGTTAAGTTCGCTTTCGCGTGAGCCGTCGCGGATGTAGGCGCTCGGATTCGGGATGGAAAAGGATTGGGCGAAAGAAGTGCACTTTGCAACTCGATTACAGAAAATAATACCTGTTTATTGATTGTATAAAGTTTACATATACGCTTTAAGCGAGAGAGAGAGTTTAAAAACACTCGCGAGTGGTATTTACCTGAAGATCGCTTGATTTGAGCCCTTTGTTCGGAAGGACACTATTGTCTTTGGCGGGTATTTGGGGTCCTTCGGGTCACTGGCTATAGGCGGTTAGGTTTCTGATTACTCGCTATTGGCGGAGTATTGGCGGCAACGTGCATCCGAGTGAACACTAAAGAACTGACGAACTCTGTGTCGTCATCGGACATTTTCTTTCATTTGGAGGTTCTCCCTTCTTTCTTCTCTAGCCCATTTTTGGTAATGTTGATTTCTCCATCCAATAATGATTTTTGTTGTCAGGTTCCTGGTGACACATTCAATGTATCATCTTAAAGAAGAAGTGACTCCGGGGTGATACATACACTCATATCTTTGGCATTTAATAATTGTGAGAAAAGTTCTAACAAATTCTTTAACATAATAGAGATTTTATTCAAATTCTGTAACGACAATATTTTATTCAAAAATTTCGTCAGGTCCAGGCTCTCGCAACAATATACAACACGAAAAGAAACACGAATCTTCTTTAAAATGACCAACGATATCTTGTCGGTCATTTTAAAGAAGATTCGTGTTTATCTCGACGCTAAAAAGCTTTGTGTGGTAATCACAGTATTATTATGTAAATAATCCTGCGATAAAATATAATTATAAAAATACTTTTATTGACTACCAGCGGAAAAATACAAGTTTGCTGATGAAAATACTGTTTTCGCTCGTTTACCGCTTACATTGTGTATATTCAGTTCGACAATAATGAAATAATATAATACTTAACTTAAGAAGGCACTGCACGAGACGTCGGATTTCTTTTACACTTTCAACCATATGGGCAGTGACACGGCATTTCATCGAGGTCAAAGTGTTTTTGTTTCTCGAATGTCCCTTGTGGGTCTAATCGACCCACAATGGGGCATTCGATAGGCAAAAAACAGACATATCCGAGATGGACCATCCCGAAAATCTCAGGATTTGCGACCTGTTATAATCCGGACAGGTAGACCCATCCTGGTCTCTGAGGTCGGTGGTTTTTTCTATCTGTTGTAATACGAGTACTGCAGTCTGTGTACTACTACAGAATGCTGATATTGCAGATAACTTCATTTTAATTTAACGGCATAAAAATACACAAAGAATCACTGTTATAACTTTGGAGCAGTGAATAAAGCATGCTGAGTTACGACAGTTAGGTCGCCCATCCCGCCGAAAGTTGAAGAAGGAAGCGAAATGGAGGAAAGCTGAGTCTTGGTCATTGTGGGGTTAAAACTTTTATGAATTGTCCATATTGGACAAAATTTGGCCAAGAGAAATAAAAACTTTAATCAAATTTTAAATATTATTATTTTTCTATGCTTCGAAACAATAATCAGTGATAAAAAAAACTACACAGCAATTATTTATAGTAGATTCCAGTTTTATTACAAACTTACAATTATAATATAAATTGAATAATTAATCAATTAATAAATCAAAGACAAGTTTCATACTTATTAGAAATTTACTTCGTTACTTGAAATGGGAATTGAATTTTTTTACAGAAATCAAAAATCGGATATATGAGAACCTTGGCCAAACATTTTGCTTCTAGCCTCCACTTTTGGCATAATCAATTAATAAAAGATGCCGAAATAAATAAAAAATTTATGAGTATGTATATTAAATTAAGAACTTCGAAAGGCTTGGAAGCCAATGCAATATTTGCCGAAATATGCAAAATGCTCATCGAAATGTTTGAAGACACATCAAAACTGGCAATTGTCGGTTTTCCAGACTTAATAAAATTCCTGACCATGGATTCCGACGACGAATATTTCGTATCCGATGATGTTCTTTACACAAGTAATAACGCATATGTGATGAGAAAAGGATTCCCGCATAAAAATAAAATCGACAAATTGTAAGTACACATTAACGTTCCTCTTTATGTAGAAATTCTAATCTAATTTAATAATTAATTTATCTTTAGACTCAGCAGATTGTTCGAAAGTGGAATCGTTATTACATTCTCTGGCGGTACTTTTGTCGAATCAAAACTAAAATCGTCGAATGATTGGAGACCTTTGTCTCTTGAAGACTTGTTTGGTCCATTTGTTGCGCTTATCGTAGGTTACGCCTTATCATTTTCTTGTTTCCTTGCCGAATTCCTCGTCGGAATGACTCTCAATCGGATTGCTCCTTTCAAGTAGTAAATTAATAAAATTATCGAACTTTTCGTTAGCACAGCTAAGTGGAAAGATCGGAGGTGTAGGGGAGACCGGGAATAGATGTAACAATTTTTTTATTAAGATATTACTTATATTTTAAAAGTAGTCACCGATAAGTTTGTACGTGATGTGCGCTTCTAGAAAAGTATAAATTCTGGGAACTATCAATAGTTTATAAGCATCATCATAAATGTAATTATGACGATGCTTATAATAATGATTATAAATTAATTGTATAAATTGCAGAAAAATAAGTTGTTAGAAATCGGCCGCTATTTGCTGAGTTGTTCCGCGACGAAAACAAGCTTTAGCAATGAGGATGTCTAATAGTGCACACTCGGTAAGTTATCCTACAATTTTTTGTTTATAGCGTATTTTATACGGATTATTTCCAAAAAAAAATATACGTATTTTGGAAATGTTGAGTCGGATTAGTTTAGAATCGATTAATTTTATGAAAGAAAACCTTTCAATCAGCCGTAGTCCGTAAACTTTACACGTGTCGGGCTGTGATTGGAAGGNTTTTTTTATTTTAAATACTATCTTAACAAGAAATAAAATGCGAGATAATAATCGAAATAAAAATTTTTTTCCACGAAAAAAAATATCGTCGCGGACGATTTTTTATGGAAAAAGTGCACGTGCGCGAAGCGACAGTATCGTCTGGTAAAGTAAATACGAGTAGAAACTTTTATATTTATTTCTTCGGAAAATAATAATAAATGTAGCCGCTGTGATAAATGGGCGCATTGTTCTTGCGCCAATAGTGAATAAAACGACAGTTTAACCATTTTAATTTGTTTTTCTTGTATATAAAAATAATATTCCCATCTTACCCACGGGTGGGGCGAGATGGTGCATTTACGTATAATTTTATAATATTAAATTTTCTTGTTTTTAAAAACGCTTTTACTTGTAATAGGCGTCTACCACCCAACCTTCTAGGCAGATACAACCGGTCTACATCGCTGCGCGGGTGTAGTGAACAATAAATGGTCATGAGTTTTCTTGTTTTTCTATCAAGATTGTCCAATTCTGCTTGTGCCCAGTTTATAATACTCTCAGTGTATCTTATGACAGGTACTGTGCCACCTAGTGAACACTGTCGCTGGTTTATCCAAGTGTTGCGCCGAAATTTAGCGAGGTCATAGAGTATTTCAAGTCGTAAAGACCATCCCGACTCGTTTTAGCATAAACGAACAGGCTGTGCTGTACATGTACTGTACGTGACATTGATGATATCAAACGGTTGTTCTATTCAATGGACAAAAAAGCGGTATCGAAAGATACTAAGATGAGAGTTGTTTTTTTAACAAATCGTAAAGTCAATCAAAGTGCTAATGAGCATAGGTAATTTGCCTGTTTTTGGGCTTACAGTATGTACAGCTTTCGTCAGCTTTGTCGTACATACGTGTGGCATAATATGCAATTATATAAAACATAACACTCGTAGGTTATAAACATACGTGTTTCTGTAAAATAAAGAGCAGAGATCTCAACAGAATGCACAATTTCAAGTACTGGTATTTCCTATATAAATAGATTAAAAAACAGAAATTTTTTCAAATAACAGATATTTTCCTGAATGTGCGAGAAATCCTTTGTTCGCGATATCGGAACGGATCATTTTCGGCCTCCCCAGCAATCCGTTAAAACGAGATTATTCTCTAATGCTAGGTCGCACACATATAGAGTGCTCCGAAAATGCCTCCGTCGAGTTACCACACTTCCTTGGCATGCACGGTGTGTGGATCGGTCACCCGTCGAGCTCTCCAGGGACCAAACGAGACATCTATCTCGTGCTAGCAACATAGTACTTGTTCCTTCTTCGAGATATCGCGAGGTTCCTCTAAAGCCCCGCAGTGGCGAGTGGATGTAACACTGCTGGCTACCCAGCATTTTCGGGTGTTTTCACGTTAGTGACACCTAAATAGGGGCCAGATTCCAAAACAAAGTTCTGCGGGAGGCATCCCCACTCGGCAGATTGCTCACGTGTCTTGTTACCGAACACGAACAAATAAATAGACAAACAAACTGCGCTTCTATCTGGGTAAGAGGCGGTCTTACGAGCCAGTAAAGTTTTCTGTTTTAAATTGTATCGTTGTCACGCGGGAAATTATGTCTTTCATTATGATTTTGTAATTTTTTTTTTATTATCGACGTTAAATTCGCGCCATAAAAGTTTTGTTCGGTCGCGACGCCAACTTCTGTGTCTTTGAATGTGTTAATATCAATTGTGACACTATCACTATCACATGTGGAAATGACATAATTATATATTTTCAGTTGCGTGTACGGAAACGAAGTCGGAAAATGACGCAATCAAATTCCGTGGAAATGAAAGAGGTTTAGAAATGTCGCAGTTAATAAAAAAGGTATTTATTCGTTTAGTTCTTCCGCTTCTATTCTTTGTTTCTGTACTCACGGAAGAAATCTGTTTAATTATTCTTATTTATATATAAAACACAGAGGAACTAATGTGTTATATTTTGGCTCCGACGTTTTAACACTCCACGAGCCCAAATATATATATATATACTTGGTATATATATATACATTTTGTCATATATATATATATATATATATGACAAAAACTTTACAAAAATCTGTATGTGTGTATTTTGTATATTTCTGGACTGGATGAATCCTAAATTTTCAAAGTTTTCAGGATTATTTTTATATACAGGGCGTTGATTCTGTTAAATTTTTGAGGTCGTGGATCAAGGAAATCGGAAAAGAGAGAAAATATCGTGGGTCACGTATCGAATGCGGTTAAATTTAATGAAAAGTTTACTTGTCATTAGCATTTTCAATTTGCTTAAAAATTACTGTAAAATAAGACACGTTTTATTTAATAGTAAGTAGGGGAAGGTGGTGCAAGATGGGCCACGGGGTAAGACGGAGACGTCTGTTTATTCGAGGTTAACGCGCTTTCATCTAGCCGTTATTTGGGGGACTAAATGTCAACCTCAAAAGGGATTACGGGACGAGAGAACGTCCGAATCGCTCTCTTTGTTCGGAAGTAACACAATACTTCATCTAATTTTACTCCCGCTACAAAGTTTCTACAAAGTAAACATCATTGCGAACTTTTGCATTACCTTTTAGACGAAGATATTATGGTATTTACATTAATAAACCAACGTTAAAGGCTGAAGATGGCCTATACAAATTGGCCGAAAACGTTCGAATAAAGAAAATAACTCGGCAAATACAAATCAGGTGTGTTTGGTTTATTAATATAAATAGCTAATATTGCTGAGAAGATAGATAGATATTATGGTATTCGAAGTAACCTCTAAGACCGAAATTGTTTAGTTTTGAAATAAAGTTGACCCGTGTTTGCGGTCAGTATGAAAAGTGCACGTTGGGGCAAGATGATGGGGGCAAGATGGGGTACCCCGTCTTGTTCCCACCATCTTGCTCCTACCATTTGCTCAAGGTTGGCCACGAATTCTGCCGCCGGCTAGAGGCACCGCAATATAGTGCAGCGAACTAGCTTTAAATTCGTCTCATTGATAATTCTATATCATTTCTTCGAATATAAAAAATTATCAGTTTAAAACTGATCTTTTTATAGAAAATGAAATATTCCACTTTTAAATCATATCTAACTGTAATAAATTTATACAGTATAAATACTGTATTACTTTATTATTTATCTTTTTACGTTTTATTTTATTTGTGAAAACATTTTTTTATTTTAAATACTATCTTAACAAGAAATAAAATGCGAGATAATAATCGAAATAAAAATTTTTTTCCACGAAAAAAAATATCGTCGCGGACGATTTTTTATGGAAAAAGTGCACGTGCGCGAAGCGACAGTATCGTCTGGTAAAGTAAATACGAGTAGAAACTTTTATATTTATTTCTTCGGAAAATAATAATAAATGTAGCCGCTGTGATAAATGGGCGCATTGTTCTTGCGCCAATAGTGAATAAAACGACAGTTTAACCATTTTAATTTGTTTTTCTTGTATATAAAAATAATATTCCCATCTTACCCACGGGTGGGGCGAGATGGTGCATTTACGTATAATTTTATAATATTAAATTTTCTTGTTTTTAAAAACGCTTTTACTTGTAATAGGCGTCTACCACCCAACCTTCTAGGCAGATACAACCGGTCTACATCGCTGCGCGGGTGTAGTGAACAATAAATGGTCATGAGTTTTCTTGTTTTTCTATCAAGATTGTCCAATTCTGCTTGTGCCCAGTTTATAATACTCTCAGTGTATCTTATGACAGGTACTGTACAGTCGACCCCCCTATAATTACGGTCCCAATAATTACGATTCCTATAAAACTGCGAAAAAATTGTGACGGTATCCGTAAAAAACAGTAAAAAAACCCCTATAATTACGTTAAACGTCATCGGGCAGCCGAACTACTTTCCCGCCGTCCGTAGCGCCGTTTACGGAGAGATTTCTATCGTCTGGACAGTATTATATAAATTATATATAAATTAGGTACTGTATATATAATTATATATTAATTATATATAAATTAGGTACTGTAAATATAATTATATATTAACTTATAACTTTGTTATAATTAAATATATAATTTCCGCCGTCTAGCGTGGCGCCACGCTACGGAGATTTTTACGCTATCGTCTGTACACTATGTAAATTAGGTAGTACCGTAAGTCTAATACAGTACTGTAATTTTATACATTTCTTGTGAAAGAAACATTTCTT